GGGATGGGATGGGAGCAGCCCTATCTGGAGCTTGGACAGGAACCTTTGCTGCAAAGAGAATTTGTGGGAGTACCCCCATGCCACCCCCCTGCCTCCCTACCTGGAAAATCTGGCACTGGAACCTGCAGAGCACCCTCTGCTGCCTATCCCGGTGTCCCTCCCCCAGGGTTTGTGGGGTTGCTGCATTTTTACCCTTTTGCCATCCCTTTTGCAGAGCAGGAGCTGCTTTCCCTGGCTTTCCTTGGCAGGAGCAGTGTGCCAGCTGTGCTGCATCCCCATCCTGCAGGACAGGGAGGACAGAAAGGGAACCCCAGAGGCTGGAGCCCTGCCAGCTCTCCCTTGTCTCTGCTGGCATCCCCTGCCTCTGTCTCTGCTCCTTTCCTCTGCTCTTTCCCTCTTTCTCTGCTCTGTTCTGTGTTTTCTGTGTGTGTGCGGCTCAGGAGGATCCCTCAGCCCAGGCTGGGTTTCTGTGGCTCTGTGCTCCTGCATGTGCCATCCCAAGCTGCCTCCCGTGCTCACAGCCAGCTGTGGGTTTGTTTTGCTTGGAGTGAGGTTTTTCAGCAGTTCTTCCCACAGGCTCATGGCCAGGAGAGCTGGGCTGGTGTTGGCTGTGCCTCCTCCAGGGCTGGGTGATGTGGCAGCCAGGCTGGCTGGGATCCATGGGATCCCCCCCTGCCCTCTCCTTCCCCACCTTCTCCTCTTCCTGTCCATGCCAGAGCCTGCTCCAGACACTCTGCAGCCCCTTTTTCTCCTTCCAGCAAGGAAAAAAAGAGCAATTTGTTCCTTGCAGGCTGCATGGTGCAGGTCTGGGGGTGGTACTGGTGCCCCTGGGCTGGGCTGGTGCAAGGAGAAGGGTTCCCCACACTGAGCAGGGCACAAAGGGAGCTGGAGCTGGGCTGGGCTGCAGTTCTGGATGGCTTTGGAGGGATCACATGGCTGGGGAAGGATCTGGCCAGAGGCACAACCCAGGCACATGCTGCTGGCACAGCACAGCCTGCAGCTCTGCCTTGAGCACAGGGAGATCTGCAGCCAGGGATGCTCAGCTGGGGCTGCAGCAGGGGCAGGCGGGCTCCCAGTGCCTCCAGAAATGCTCCTAATGCCTCCAGAAATGCTCCTAATGCCTCCAGGAATGCTCTCAGTGCCTCCAGGGTTGCTCCCAGTTCTTCCAGAGTTGCTCCCAGTGCCTCCAGAGTTTCTCCAGTGCCTCCAGGGTTTAACCACAGCCAGCTGTGCAGTGTTTGTGCCTTGTTTTCCTCACCCCTCTCCAGCCACAAGCTCTCCTGAGCTCTGCCCTGCACCACAGCAGAACAGGAGTGCTGCACAGAGGGACAGGGATGTGCTGCCAGCCTGGATTTCCATGGATTGAGGGAAGAGTTCTTGGCTTTTCCTACCTGGGGCTGCTGGAATTAATGTCACCACAGTCCCTGCCTGGTGCCAGGTCTGGGGACATTTTTTCCCTCACAAACCCCTCAGAGTGCCACCCAGGTTCTGAGCTCACTCTGAGGGCTCTTTCTGCTTTTCCTGCTGTCTTTGGGAGTTTTGGGAGCGTTTTTAATTTCTTCTCAAAATGCAGGGGAAAAATACCTCCTTCCATTTGTCCCCTCTGCACCAAACCTCAATAATTTATCCCAGGGTTTGGGATAAATAAATTTATCCCAGAGATCCAAGGGAAAAAAGTGTAACTGCTGCCTGTGCAAGGCTGCAGGTTGGACTTTCCAGGTGCTCAGGACACTTCCTGGGCAGGCTGTCTGCAGTGCCTCCATAAATGTGAATTCTTTAGGCAGAGAGCTCCAGCCAGACCCATTTCAGCACCGGGGCACCAGGGAGCTGCAGAAATCCTGGCAGACACTTCACACCCATGCCCTGGGGAAACCAGAGGAGAGTTTGCATCTCCCTCCTCCTCCCAAGGAGGGAGTGTTGGGGTCTCTCCTGTGTTCTGCCTCTCTCCTGGGCAGTGCCTTTGTGTCCTGCCAGTGAATCCCTCATCTTCCTCACCTCTCTTGCATTTCCTTTCCTAGATGCAGATGCTGGACAAGTTCCCCATGGAAGGAGGCCAGAAGGACCCCAAGCAGAGGATCATCCCCTTTCTGCCAGGTAGGACAGGGGCTCCAGCAGGATCCAGGCTGGTTCTGGTATGGCAGGAGCTCTGTGGGACTGGGAGCACACCCATGTGTGGGAATACACAGATTTTAGCTCCTATCCCTTACACCATCTGAGCAGCATTGAGTTCCTGGCCTGCAGTGTGTCCTTTAAAACCTCAGATTTGTCAGCATTGTGCCCAGTGGATGTTAAATCCCCCAGGATTTCTCTGAACCTCCAGAATTGTTGAGTGGAAGCCCAAGGATTTCTCTGAACTGTCACACACATCCTTTATGGAAAATCCTTTCCTTAGCATTTTTCCTCCTGAGAAGCTGAGAGGCCTCAGGAACAAAATGTAAACATTGATTATCTGCTGCTGTGGAATGCAACAGGTGCACCTGGGATTGGTCTCATGTGGTTGTTTCTAATTAATGGCCAATCACAGTCCAGCTGTCTCAGACTCTCTGTCCACAAGCCTTTGTTATCATTCTTTCTTTTTCTATTCTTAGCCAGCCTTCTGATGAAACCTTTTCTTCTATTCTTTTAGTATAGTTTTAATACAATATATATCATAGAATAATAAATCAAACCTTCTGAAACATGGAGTCAGGTCCTCGTCTCCTCCCTCATCCTCAGACCCCTGTGAACACTGTCACACTGAACCTCCACAATTGTCGGGTGGAAGCCCCAAAGATTTCTCTGAACCTCCAGAATTGTTGAGTGGAAGCCCCAAAACTGCTCCCACTCTGCTTTCCCTGTCCTGTGCAGCTCCAGGGGACACCAGAGAGGAGGAAAGACAGTGGAATTCAGCCTTGGCTTCCTGCCCTGCTCAAAGCCAGGAGCTCTGTGCCATGTCCAGCACCAGTGGTTTTATGCCCAGAGAGCAGATGTGATAATCTAGGGCACTTTGTGGTGTGGGGATTGCTGCTGTGGGGGAAAAAAGAGCCCTAATGTGCCTTGGGAAAATAAGCAGCCTGTGGGGAGTCTCTGTGAGCACAGAGTTGTCTTTACCCCCACCCCCAGCAGCTAATGAGGATATTTAGGAATGTCACAGCACCATAATCACTTCCAGTGGCTGTCAGGTCTGTTTAGTGCAGCCCTTTGTGCTGTGCTCTGCCTCCTGGCTCTTCTAGAAACATAAAGGCCTTTGTGGGCTTTGCTTTGCTCTGAGTGCTGTGGAAAAAAAAAAAATTAATTTCCATCCCTTTCTGAGCAAGAGGATCTGGTCTGGGTTTGTGATTCTGGCTTGTCCTGGCATTGTAACATCAGCAAAAGCAGAGCTCGGCAGAAAAGCTCACCTGGGGTTACAGCAGAAAAGCTCACCTGGGGTTACAGCAGAAAAGCTCACCTGGGGTTACAGCAGAAAAGTTCTTGCTGTACAAATGCTCCTGCCAGCAGGGAGAGATGGATGCCAAATTGGCCAAGGCCATCACTTGGAAAAACTGGATTTGTGCTCTGCAGAAAATTCCCACCAGAACTCTGCTATTTTTGGGAGGGAAGCCTGGTCAAGCTCTGCTGCTCACACTCACCAGTATTTGTTTCTCCCTGGTGTTGGAATAGTTTCCCTTTGCTCGGAAACGTGTCACTGGGGTTTCCACTGTGGGAAAAAAGGGGGTGGAAATTGCTGGAAAAGAAAGGCTGGGCCAGCTGCAGAGCCCTGTGCTTGGGGGAAGGTGCTGTTGGAGCTGGGGGCTGTGGTGCCTTTGTCCTGCAGGCTCCTGGTGGCTGCCCCTGGACAGCTCAGAGAGCCACAACTGCCCAGGGACAGGGTGGGAAGTTCTGCTTCTGAAGAGGATTTCACCTGGGAGGGAGGAAGGCTCTTTTAAAATTTTCTGGCTGTCCTGGAGCCTGATTCCTTTCTGGAATCTTTTCCCAGTTTGGGGTGACTGTGGTGGTGTTCACAGGGGTCCCAGGATGAGAATCTGGACTCCATGTTTCAGAAGGCTGATTTTATTATATATATTATATATATAGTATATATTTATATATATATGTATTATATATAATATATACTTATTATATATTATCTAGTATACATTTTATTTTCTATATTATATTAAAACTATATATATTATATTATATATAATATTTAATATATTATATATTATATAATCTTTAATCTATAATGTGTATAATATACAGTATATATTATATATCATTATTATTACTTATTATATATATGTTTTAATATATATTATATTAAAACTATACTAAAAGAATAGAAGAAGGGATTTCATCAGAAGGCTAGCAAGGAATAGAAAGGAAGAAATGATAATAAAATCTTGTGACTGAGCAGAGAGTCCAAGACAGCTGGACTGTGACTGGCCATTAATTAGAAACAACCACATGAGCCCAATCACAGATGCACCTGTTGCATCCCACAGCAGCAGATAATTATTGGTTTTCTTTTCCTCTGAGGCTTCTCAGGAGAAAAAATCCTAAGGAAAGGATTTTTCTGAAAATATCATGGCTACAGATGACAAGCAGTTTTGTCCCAGCTGGCCCCCAGCTTTGTCTCTCTCAGCCCAGGGTGCCATCCAGGTGGGCCTGGGATTGGTTTTCTGCACAAAGGTGGTTCCATCTCCCTGGACTTGCTGGGGTTTAGGTTCTGTTCAGCTTCTGGGAATGCTGGAGTTTGTTCCCAGTCCCGTTTGGAGCATCTGAGTTTCATTAGCAGGGGAGCTTTGGCTGCTGTGGTTTCCTGCAAGCCCTCTGCTTGCTGGGAAGCCCTTGCAGAGCAGCACCAGCACTGTGGCCACTGCAGCTCTCCAAAATTCTGCTTTTGAAAACAACACCCCCAACTGCTCTTTGTCCTGCTCTCTTCTCAGGACTTCACTGCTAAACCTTCCTCCTGCAGCTCTGGCTCCCTCACAAACCCCAAAGTGTCCCAAGCTGGGGTCAGCACCATGACCTGAGGAGGTGTCCTGGGGTTTGTGTGTCAGGCTGGGTTCCTGGAATGGGAAGGAGCTCCAGGATTGCCCCACATCCCAACCCCAGCCCACAGCAGGAACTCTGCTGCCTTTGCATTGCCTCATTTTGTGAGCGCCTGCTTTGAGGATTTGACTTTTTATGGGAAATTTCTGGAGGCTCTGGCCTCTCTGAGCAGGTCCGTGATGCTGTCAGGAGGGGATTTTGTAAGTGCAAAACTCCTTCAGCCCTCTGAGCTCTTGTGGAGCCACAGAGCTGGGTCCTGCAAAGCAGAGCAGCTGCACTTGAGCTTTGGGNGGAAATTCCTGCTGTGCCCACCCTGAGCCTGCCCTGAGCCCCCTTTCCATGGGGAAATCCCTTTGCCTTGGAGACACCAGAGCAGCTGCATTCCCCATGCTGGGATGAGCAGTGCCAGAAGTCACCTTGCTGCTCACAGTGATGCCAGGAGCATTTGGGGCTTTTCCTGAGAACTGTGGCCTTGCAGAACCCTTCCCTTTCCTGTCCTTGGTACCCAAACCTGGCCCTGTCCTGCACAATTCCAGGTTCTGTCCTGCACAATTCCAGGTTCCCAGCTCGTGGCTGCTGCACCTTTCCAAGCACCACCACCCTGCCTTTCTCTTCCAAGGGTGGCAGAACCTCCTTTTTCTGCCTGCTTGGCTCTTTCCATGCCTTGTGCCACACCAGAGTCCCACAGGATGCTGTCACCTCTCCCCAAGGGCTGGTGGCCCTGCTCACCCTCAGCTGAGCCCAGCTGCTTCCTCCTGGAGCCAAGCCAGCAGTTTGGGCAGATGCAGTCAGTGGTGGCTCTGATCCCTTGGGAAGTGCTCAGGCCGTGCCTTTTCCTGCTCTGGGGTCACCACTCCAGTGCTGAAATCAGGGTGAGATTCTGGAGCTGGGGGGTCAGCTCCACCCTGGGCTCTCTCTTGTGCTCAGGACGGGTTTTGCTCTGCAGATCCTCTGCCACTCCTCCTTTTCTCACTGAAGATTTTCTCTCAGGTGGCAATTTACATCAGGGCAGCCTTTTAGGAATGAAGGAAGATAAAACTGTAATTCCGAGTTCTAAAACCTGGTGTAACTGCAGGATTTGTAGTAAATTTCTAACTCCAAATGCTAAACTCAGTTCTGCATAAACCCCTTGGCTGGAGGAATAATTTCCTTCCAACAGGACTGAGGCTCTTTCTCAACACTCACAATTCCAGATGTGAGCTGCTGGCAGCAGATGGATGCTGTTCCTGAGAAACAAAGGGATGGGATTGGGGCTTGCAGGGTGCTGGGAATGTCAGCTGGCATGGAAGGGGGAAATCAGGCACTGGAGTGGCCTCTGTGGTGGGCAGAGGGAGAGGATCAGGGTCTGCTCCTGCCTGGGAGGTGCAGAAGCTCTGCAGTGCCTGTGGGATGCTCCCCTGATGAGTTCCTTGGAAGGATCCTCTTGAAACCACAGGCTGCCAGGAGTGCCACTGCTGCTTAGAGAACAGATTCTCTCTGGTCTCCTGTGGTTTCTCGTGGAAACCCCCAGAAGGAAGCATTTTTTCCCCCCTTTGTCATTCTGAGTTCAGCAGGCACGGCTGGCAGTCACTTGAGCTCTTCATGTGACCGAGAGCCACTGATGTCTTGCTGCTCTGCTAAACCACCCCAAACCCAACCCTTTCACACCTTTCCTGCTCTTACCAGCCCCCATGGAGCCCCAGTACATGTCCTCAGCATCTTCTGCCTTTTGGCTGCAGCCACGTTCTCAGAATCCCAGAATTATTGAGGTTTGAATTCTCAGAATCCCAAATTACTGAGGTCGGAAAAACATTTCTGATACCATCAAATCCAAGCTGTGTCTGATCTCCACCCTGTCCCCAGCCCAGAGCACCCAGTGCCACCTCCAGGGATGGGGATCCAACCCTTCCTGGGCAGTTCCAGTGCCTGAGCCCCCTTTCCATGGGGAAATTCCTGCTGTGCCCACCCTGAGCCTCTCTCAGGTTTCCTCTCCTCCTGTCCCTGTTTCCTGCAGCACAGCCTGACCCCCCTGGCATGTTTCAGGGTGCCCCTCTTTGGCACAGGTTGCCCCAAGGTTTTCCCCTTTAGTCAGACCCTTCATC